TTATTAAATAATTTCAGCTCAATATTAAAACCCTCCAAAATTTAAAACATCCAATTTAAAATCATTACATTGATAGCCCGGCCTGGAGGAACAGCAGGGTCTTAAGGGCACAGCAAAATACCCTGAGGTCGGAGATCTTATGCATTTCCGGGGGCAGTTCATTCCACAGGGATGGGGCTCCCACAGAGAAGGCCCTCCCCCTGGGTGTCGCCAGCCAACATAACTTGGCCGATGGCACCCTGAGGAGACTGTCGGGTTTCGATGTCATCTCAAATAAATTGCACTCCCAAACAATTAATCCTTGCTGAAATATTCCATTTATTTGAGTACGACAGAACTGGCTCCGACTTCGTCGTAGCCGATACTAACCCTCTGACCCCCAAACCCTTCCCTTTCCGTTCCCCAATTCTCATCTTCTCATTGGCCATCTTCCAAGTCAGTCTCTCCAGCTTCTGACCTCAACCCACAGGAATGTCCCCCCTCCCATCCCATCTCCTAGGGGATATAATCTACAGAGAAAATAAGTAGGTGAAAAGTCAAGCCTTGTCTCCTCCTTTTTATGGCAGCATCAGAATGCTGACAGAGACCCTCTCTGTGGGAGCGAACTAGCCGGTGGGAGGCTACTGGTGGCAGAAGACGGTCTCGAAGGTCCCTGGGTCCTATGCCATGGAGTGCTTTAAAGGTGGTAACCGACACCTTGAATCACACCCGGAAGACCACTGGGAGCCAGTGCAGCTCACGCAGGAGGGGTGTCACGTGGGCACAACGGGTTGCGCCCATAACCACCCACGCGGCCGCATTCTGGGCCAGTTGGAGCCTCCGAGTGCTCTTCAAGGGGAGCCCCATGTAGAGAGCATTACAATAGTCCAGCCGGGAGGTGACAAGGGCATGAGTGACCGTGAGCAAGGCGTCCCGGTCCAGAAAGGGCTGCAACTGGCGAATCAGGCGAACCTGATAAAAAGCCCCCTGGCCATGGCCGTCATATGCTCTTCAAAAGACAGCCATGCGTCCAGGAGGACACCCAGATTGCGAGCCCTCTCTGTGGGGGGCAGCGATTCACCCCCAATAGTCAGCGATGGCACCAGCTGACTATATCGGGATGCCGGAAGCCACAGCCACTCGGTCTTGGAAGGGTTGAGTCTGAGCCTATTTCTCCCCATCCAGATCCGCACGGTCTCCAGGCAGCAAGACATCACATCAAGGGCATCGTTGGGGTGGTCTGGGGTGGGGATGTACAGCTGAGTGTCATCAGTGTACTGATGGACTCTCACCCCAAAACCACGGATGATCTCACTCAGCGGCTTCACATAAATGTTGAACAGAAGGTTTGAGAGGACTGACCCCTGCGGCACTCCCCATGCGAGGCGCCTCGAGGTCGACTTCTGCCCCCCTGCCAACACAAACTACGAGTGGTCGGAGAGGAAGGAGGAGAACCACCGCAGAACGGTGCCCCCTATTCCTAACCCCCTCAACCGCTGCAGCATGATACCATGGTCGATGGTATCAAAAGCCGCTGAGAGATATAATAGGACCAGGACAGAGAAGCAACCCCTGTCCCGAGCCCTCCAGAGATCATCCACCAACGCCACCAATGCCGTTTCCATGCTGTACCCCTACCTGAAGCCCAACTGGTACGGGCCAAGATAGATAGCTTCATCCAGGTGCCGGGGAAGCTGTCGTGCCACCACACTCTCAACAACCTTCGCCACAAAATGAAGGTTGGAGACCAGATGGTAGTTAGCCAATTCAGCCGGGTCCAGGGAAGGCTTCTTGAGGAGGGGCCTCACCACTGCCTCTTTCAAGGCAGCGGGAAAGGCACCCTCACTCAGAGAAGCACTTATAATCCCCTGGAGCCAGCCTTGTGTAACCTCCCGGGAGGCCAGTACCAACCAGGAGGGAGACGGGGCCAATAAACACGTGGCAGCACTAATCTTACCCAGAACCCTGTCCACATCCTCGGGAGCCACAGGATCAAACTCTTCCCAGATAATATTCTCAGGACCTACCCTCATCTCCTCCCCTGGACTCATCCAATCGGAGTCCAAGCTTTCCCGAATCTGAGCGACTTTATCATGCAGGAATTGCACAAAATCCTCAGCTCGACCCTGTAAGGGGTCTTCCTGCACTCCCCCCCAAAGAAGGGAGTGGGTCACCCTAAACAGAGCAGCTGGGCGGTTCTCTGCAGATGCGATAAGAGCGGAAAAACGGTTAGATTTCGCCGCTTTTATCGCCACTAGGTAGGTCTTGATATAAGACCTCACCAGTGTCTGGTCGGAATCGGATTGACTACTCCTCCAAATGCTCTCTAGGCGTCTTTTCCGACGCTTCATCTCTCTCAGCTCCTCGGAGAACCAAGGAGCCAATTGAGATTGGCATCGGGTCAGAGGCCGCAAAGGCACAATGCGATCCAAAGCTCCGGCAGCCGCACTCTCCCAGGCAGTCACCAGCTCTTCAGTCGAGTCGTGTGCCAGGGTCTCAGGAAACGGCCCAAGCTCCATCAGGAACCTTTCGGGATCCATCAGGCACCTGGGACGGAACCATCTGATCGGTTCCATCTCCCTGCGGCGGGGGGAAGCGGCTGGAAAGTCCAAGTGAAGGAGCGAATGATCTGTCTATGACAAGGGTTTGATATCTAGGTCCCCTCTACCAAGATCATTCAACTACTGACCAGAGACAAAAATCAAGTCCAGAATGTGTCCCCCTATGTGAGTGGGGCCTTGAACTAACTGGGTCAGGTCCATGGCCGCCATGAACTCCCGAGCAGCCTCTGACGCCTCACCTGCAGATGGTAGGTTGACAATAAGTCTGGGGGTATCAACCGCCACCCTGGCAATAACATCGAGCAGCTCGGGCAGGGTCGCCGCCACGTGGCAGGGAGCCAGGTACGTAGTCAGCAGACCAATCTGCGCCCCACAGCCCCACTTCACAAAAAGGGACTCACATCCGGCTATCTGAGGAATAGTGGTCTCCCTTGGACAAAGACTTTCCCTAATAATCGCTGCCACTCCCCCCCCCCTCCCCTGGGGCCTTGGCTGATGAAATGCACGGAAACCTGGTGGGCATATTTCAATGAGGGGGACCCCCCCTTGGCCCAACCAGGTCTCCGTAATACCTGCCAGGTCTGCACCCCCCTCCATAATAAGATCACAAATGAGGGGGGCTTTATTAACAACCGACCTGGCATTATAGAACATCAGCCGCAGACCCTGGGCCTGAGATTCTGCGCAACCCAGGATACGAGTCGTGCATTGGGGGCCGGAGTGCGCAATTGCTCGTAAACAGTGTGTGCGCACCCCCGACACATGATATGGCCCCTAACTGACATCCTAAATATTGTTTCATTTTATTGTGCAAAATGCCTCACATCATTCATGGAATGTGAAAGGGATGCAGGCAACATTATTTTCTGTCTGTTAAGCTTTCCACGTTATCCTACTTTTTCCATTTCACACGCATGTGAGTTGTAAAGCACATTTTAACTGACAGCATTACTAGCTATCAATTCAGAAGCATCCTTAAGTTTTTTGTACATTCTGTAAAAGCAGAGGCACTTTTTCTTTGTCCATGTAGCAACTATTTGTTGTGAGGAATCTGTGGGAAGAAGGTACAAGCATATAGTCTAAATTTTCTTTAAGAGCAACATAACAGGCATGCAGAGAAGGACAGCTCTTCAATTATTCTAAGACTAGATTTAGTGCACATTTGACCAAAGTAGAGCCACATTTGATGGGATGAGATTACAGTACTATTTCTACAAACGCTACTTCTCACATTTATGGCCCAAGGCATATTGGAATATTGCTGGTGACAGCCAGGTTTCTAATAATCTTTGGGGGCAACTTGAGATCTCTTTGCTTCAAACATCCCAATATAATAAATCTTCTGTAAGAAACAGAATACTCTGATTTTCCACCATATATGTATAATATCTAGGAAAGTGATTTTATGATCTTATTTCAGAAACAATAAGAAATGTGATCAAAACAGTACAATATAACTATACTCACATATATAATGAATTGCATTATATGACACAAATTAAAACTACCAAAATACAGGTACTCCTCCATTTATGACCACAATTGAGCCCAAAATTTCTGTTGCTAAGCAAGACAGTTTTATGTCCCATTTTATGAATTTACTTGCCAAGTTAAGTGAATCACTGCAGATATTTAGTAACATGGTTAATTGAATCTGGTTTCTCCATTCACTTTGCTTGTCAAAAAAAAAAATCGCAAAAGGTGATCACATGACTGGGGACACTGAAATCATCAGAAATATGAGATAAGCGTCTGAATTTTGATCATGGGGATCTGCAACAATTGTAAGTCTGAAAAACTTACAATTAGGTCATAAATAACTTTTTTCAGAACCATTGTAACTTCAAATGGTAACTAAATGAATGGTTGTAAATTGAGGACTATCTGTAATCTAAAAAATAAAATATGAAATATGCTGTGTTGAGAGTCTCTCCCATTTCTTGTCCCCTCCTAGGGCCTTGAGATAGGAGCATCAGTTAGTATGACCAGAAAGCCCGATTCAGAGTCATTTTAAAAGGAGAGACTGATGGGGAGACTGATCTAACAAATGCAAAGGAGCAATGAACCTGGACGTTTTACAAAATGTAAAGCTTGGACTTGTTTTTCTACAATCTGATTGTCCCAATTAAAATAGCCAGGTTCAATTGCTCCTTTTTAAAAGATTCCTTTTTTCCTTTTTTTAATTTCCACCTTTCTTCCGACCACAAGTCACATTCCTTTTTACAACAATCTTGTTAAAGTACAATAGATTGAGATGACCTTTACTGGGGGGAAAAAATCTCAATATATTTTACAATCCAAAAGAAACCTTTAACCTGAGGCAATCCAAAACTTGGATGCAGGGAGAAGTTATTTTCGTTTTCTTACTGGCAGAAAAGAGGTTCGACTGTTTTACATTGCCCATGAACTTCGAATGAGAAGGAGCACATATTATGCTTCAGAAAGGAAAATAAGACTCACATCCGGAACCTGCAGTTCAAAAGCTCTTTTCAGGCCAGACTCCCACGCGCTCGCCCTGCTTGTGTTTGTGAGCTCACCAAAAGCAATTACGAAAGAGGGGCGGCCTTGGCTTGTGCGAAACAGCCATGCAGGAGCGGCGGCGCGAAATTTGAACAAAGCTTCGTCAGACGTTTTTCCTTTTTTTTCCAGTATGGTGGAAGGTCCCGGTTGCAAGCTGAACGGGGAGAAAATCAGAGGTCGAATTGCCCCGGGTCAAACCGTGAGGTGTGTGCGGGGAACTGCAGTGGTCCCATCTGCGCCGCAAATTGGAACCTTAAAGAGAAGAGCCGCTGACGGCGTCTCCGATAGGGTTAGTAGCGTCCGAACTTCTTCCACGGAGGGTCGTGCAAGAACTTGACATTCCACCCCACGAGCTGTTGGGTTGCAATTAGGTAGGCCAGAGCTGGATGGGGCAACTTCCCATTCTGCGCTCTTCCCTGAGACAAGGGCAGCAAACCACACCGAGTGCCTGTTGAATGATGGAATCTTTCAAAGCATGTTCTTTTTTGTGCGGAATTGTAAATATGAAATTAATAACATTAGCTAGGACCAAGAATCCATGTTGTTTAATTGCCCTAACTCATTATTTACATGAGGAAAACTGGTTATGGCAATCATGCTCTGGTATTGGACTTTCCAGAATTTGGGTTCAGGCCCTGGGATGAAGTCTGTGGAGAGTAAAAAGTATTCATAAGTAGCAGGTTGGTTCCCATACCGTTCAGAGACAGGTACTTGTTCACAAATACTGTTAATGACTAAAATCCAGAGTAGCAGAAATAGACTGTTAACTGCTAGGGTTCCTGTCTAAATCATTTCTGCGAAGACACCAGTGCCATTCAATAGACAATAGGTAACCCATTTAAGATTAGCTAGTCTAATCCTTAGTATTTGTTTTACGGTTGGATTAAATCTATTAATTATTGAATCCAAGCTATTTACAACTTATAAAGTGGAAAAGGAGTACATGCATGGCTCAAGTAACTCTAATTTTAGGCATTCCGATTGGTTCTTTCATTAATTGCATGGCGAGCCTGGCCTGAATTTCATCTACATCTGATTGGCAATGTTTTGCAGGCTACTATGGAGTTTGACAGCCTCTATGCCAGTATCTTGTTCTTAAAGATTAAGCATATGCAAGCTGCCCAGTTAGTAAATAATCCTTTATCACAAGAGTTCTTTGCATATTAGAATTGCAAAAGACGTAACTGATTGATATGAGGTTAACATAAGCAGCATAGTCATCTCATTCTCAGTAATCATACGTTTTGACTATCGGAGTTTTTCTGGCAGGATTTTTTTGTGTGGCTTTTTTCTCTCCTTGCACAAAACACTTAAAAAGAAATAACCAACATCTGTAATATATTCCTGCCATTAACATAATAAATCAACCATAACAAGTCTGATTAATATGAAGAGTTGGAAGAACTCCGGCAAACATTGAACACATGTAAGAAATAATGAGGAAAGTGTCCTCCAGTCACTCAGTCTAATTAGAAAGATGGCAATTTTATTATATTTGTTTATTATAAAGGAGTCAGTTGCACAACATCCACTATAGTTATCTGTCGTTAGCATGCGGAAAGATCACATTCAGAAATTGGCATATATATCTATATTATGTATATAAACTGGGTGGGTGGACTTGTTTATTTGTTTAAAAATGTGCTAATGAGGAATGCTACTGGTATAAAGGCTTAGGACAAGGGGATTTTTTTTTCTTTGCTTCCCATGTACACAGCATGCCACTTCTCTGCAAGTTTTGATCACTAGTGTTGCCAGCATAAAATTACCCTGTTGGGGCTTGTGGAACTTTATAGGGGGAAAGATGTTGGAATATAAATGAGCAGCTTGGATTAATGAGCTGTGAAGCTAAGCCTGAATTCTGGTTGGTGGGATGAATATACCAAGAGAATTGCTGCCTCTGTCTTTGTTTGAATGCAGGCAAAGAAGTGTCATTAGTGGGAACATGATCCACAAAGTGTTCATGGATTTTTAACTAGGGGAAAATATTTGGTAGATTCTATATTTTGGTTTGTTGATTGTAGCTGAAGGTCATGTTTGGCATCCATTTTAAATATCTCAGTGCTACTATTTTGTAGATAATTTACAAGTACGTTTACATTAAATGTGTCCTGGTATTGCTATCTTGCCTCACAGATAGTCCTATGACTAGGTCCACTGCTAGATAACAAAATCTTAGAACACTGGATATTTAGCTAGATTTAATCAGAGATCAGTCTGCACATATAGCAGCTTGTCCAGCAAAATTCTTCCTGGTCCACTTAAAATTCTTCCTTAATATTCAGTATGAGTACCTATGGTATTCTGGTCATGGTTAAGAGGATGGTTCAACAAAGGGTGGATTATAAACTTTCATTTTTTGTGGATTGGGTGGTTTTTCCTTATTGTAGCAGCAAGAAAGCATGAAATTCTACCATTTTCACTCTGTAGAAATATATAATTCAGGAACATTTTTATATCATCAATCTACTGTTTGTTTAAAAGTGAGCTTCACTCATACGTAACATTCACAGCAAGAAAGCCCTGTCATATTTTTCTAGTCTGCTTTATTGAGTGCCTGAATATTCATGGTTAAGTCAGTTGTGAGATGTGTTCCTACCTGATCACCACTTGCTGGGAAGGGAAGCTCTTATAGGGATCAAAGAAGCTACAGAAGTGGATGCAACAAAAAAAAAGAAAAAAGAAAGCAATGATCTATCATACCACTTAAGAGGAAAATACTAAGAAACTATTCCTGTGATATTCCATTGATTTACATCTAGCTATTCACAGCTGATTCTGGAACTGAAAAATTATATTCAAGAAAGCTTAAAATTATCCCTATTCACTTTCTGCTTTCATGAACCCAATGCCAATGTCTAATCGTGTCTGAAATAATCAACTTACACCATGACCTTCAGTTTACAACATGTTTATTTCACAAAGGCATTTAAAAATTCAAAAGGAAATTAGCAACTGCAAAAACAGCAATCTTGAGTCTTTTAATTATTTACTATTGTGTATGTAGCTGGGAAGATACTTCATAAAGAATGTCAGCATATTATAGTAGAATGGCAAATACTGCTAAAATATTGCTAAATGAGTTGCTAAATGTCATGAAATTTGGGTTCTGCTTTTAAAATACATTTTCAAATGGTTTTTTCCTCTAAATAATTTCTGAAGGATTAAGAAAAATATATCTGCATTTTGTATATATGGAATCTTTGCCTAACACTCTTACCTCACAATTGCAATTTTGATATTAGAAAACAAACTTTCCTATAGTCCCTTAAAATCAACCTAAAACTTAAATAAGCAGTATTATTTAGTTATTTGAATTTTTAGACTTTCTGTCAATAGTGGCAATTGCTCGGAGCGAATGGATAAATTTCCTTTCCTTTCTCCTATGTTTATGAGTTTCATAGGCAATTAGCAAATAAATATTAATATAGTTCATTACCAAGCTATGTTTACATATTTATATAGGTATTCAACTATAAAAATAGATTATGAAATAATAAGGTAGAATCTGTATTGTATCTGAAAATATCCTCAAATTCCATATTTTTTCCTGAAGTTTTCTGTCTGAATTGCTTGGGAAAAAGATTTTTTTCCTTGTCTCAGATATAGAACTACAACTCTTGAGAATAGTATTTAAATATGGTTTCTTTAACAATTCCAGAACTGCTTGATTCATTGATATCCAGCTTCTAAACTATGAGCATAGCTATGAATAGCATTTATGTTAGCACTTTTATCAAAACTTGTTATTTATTAAAGTATTAATGAATCACCTTTCAAGCCATATATCTCTATAGGATACAATATTAAATATATACAGTATCTTCTACACAGTAGTCACATATAAAACAATAGCCAGTGTTTATAAGTAGGACATTAGTTTTCAGATTCTGCATAATTTGAATTTGGGTTCCCACATGAAAATTTTCCACAGTGGGCCTCACAATGGAAAAGGTCTTGTTCTTAGATTACACAAAAATAACATTCCGGACGGTACTGGCATAGGAGGGCCTCACCTGATGAACATAAAAGACAGACAAATCGATATTATAGAATCTATATTGAATGATATTATGAATACTGTGGCTCTTTCATTACTTGCACTTAGCTACGACACAATCATGCTTTGACCTCAGCAATTCCTATGATATGCCATTATCATTTGCAGCCGTCAATGAGATTTTTTTAATAGCAGACATAATATTGACATCAACATGTCTCCAGGCTTCCAACTAGGTAGATGACAGGTCAGCAGACCCCCAACTCTTTCTTTTGAAGGAAAAAGAGGAGACAAATTTGCACTTGTTTGCCAAGTCTCTATATTCAGTCACTGCCTTTCTTGCCAAGCATGAAATCCTGTTCCTCAAAAGCTAGCCAGCTTCAGTTATTCCTGCTTTCTTGGATAGAAATAATTATACAGCCATAATGAGGTCTGTTTTTAGCTCCATTGGGCCTATTCTGCCCTGAAGTCTTTCCATATGTTTTGTGATTCTTAATTATTATAATGTTAATTATTTTAACTTGGGTGATACCCAAATGGGATATGGAAGAAGGGATACATGCCAGCCAAGCGGAGTTTAAGCAGAGTTTCAGTGAGACCTTTTGGATTCCTGCTGTAAAGCACTGGATGGTGTTTTCGATGATAGCTGTGATATATTGAAAAGTAATGGCAGCAAAACCAGAGAAGCAAACCAATCATTTTGGCAATGATTTAGAATAGATGCGGCCAGGGTAGAATAGGAATTGACAAAGAAAACATCAACTATTTTGTCAGCGTTGTTTTGTACTGACTCAGACTTAGGCAACCATTCAGTAACTGTTCAAAGTTACAACACACTGAAAAAAGTGATTTATGACAATTTTTTCACATGACTGTTGCAGCATCCCCCTCCCCAAAGTGGGTGGAAATGTCTGTGCATCTTATAGAGTGAATGTTGCTGAAGCCACGCCCACCTGCCAGCCCCCACCCTTCGGCCTTGGCCTCCCGGAATACTGCCTATCAGCTGTTTCAGGCTGCAGGGATCACTGCCACCTCTGCGTGCCCCATTTTCAGCCTCCCTGCATCCCGTTTTTGGCTTCTACATGCCCCATTTTTGGCCCCTTCCAGGCGGCGGGGATAGGCGGCTTCCCTGCTGCTTCAAACAGGCCAAAAATGGGGCATGCAGAGGCCTAAAATGGAGTGCATGGAGGCGGCGATAGGTGGCAGCGGCAATCCCCACAGCCTAGAACAGCCAATAGGCGGTATTCTGGGAGACCAATCTAACCACCAATCAGCTGCTCGTGCTAAATCAGGCTGTGCTGAACTGACCAGGTTATTTACTGTTTGCTGCAAGGAGGCAAATTGCTGGGAGGCAGAGGCAGATATTTTTTTCTTGTTTTCCTCCCCAAAAACTTAGGTGTGTCTTATAGTCTGGAGCATCTTATAGTCTGAAAAATATGGTATATGACAATTGCACTGTCCTGAGTTCATAGGATCACTATTTCTAACCTTCCAGTCAGCGTCTGACAAGAAAAATCAAAGGGGGAAGCCAGCTTCACTTAGTGACCATATGATTCACTTAACTGCAGTGATTTACTTAATAATTGTGAGAAAAGAGGTCATGGAATAAGGCACAACTCAATTAACAACTACCTTGCTTAGCAACAAAAGTTATGGGCTCAATTGTATATTGATAACTACCTGTAATGAATTATGTCTCATAAATGGATAAATGTGAAACCAAAGTTTAAACTTCTTTCCTAACATTTATTTTGTTAATATTTTCAAACTGTTTAGATTACCGGAAATAAGAATTTGTGCCAACATTTCTTAAAGGTAGTTAATGGATGTGTGTACTGTGGCGTGGAAACTTTGGGGAAAGAACTTTTCATATTCTTTGGAGAAAAAGCCTTAAGGTGAGAAAGATATATTCTTACCTTGTATAATTCAAAGGAATTATTGTGACTTATTTATCTTTCTCAGAATATTATTTTCTTCTTGCCCAGATACAAAGTAAACATTTGATCATACTAGCTATACTAAAGACTATGAACTTCATAACTATGAACATGACTTAGCATAAAATTGTAGTTCTACAGTAAGCAAATAGATGCCTCCTCCGCCATTTTGTGGGTCATGAGCCAAACAAACCCATTGTATTTTAGACCCCACTAAAATCATATGTGAATGCTTAAATCTTCCAGTAAATAAATTTTTAGTTTAGCTGTCCCACACTTAGATATTTATATGAATTAGCTTAAACCAACCAAATAATTTCTAGAGCTAAGATAAGATTGACATTAATAGTTATCTTCCTTTTATTATTTATGTCTCAAATTTATAGGGTCACACATCTCACACAAAGTGACTTTTCAGACACATTCTTGCAGGCATGATTTGTTGAATCACATGCCAATATTGAGGGTACTTTACTGTTTGGGATCTAATGGTCACATTCTGTTCCCTACTATCACTCCACTTAAAAAGAAAAAATCATCTCTTTTTAAAACTAGTTAAGAGGGAGGGAACGAGAGAGAGGAAGGAAGGAAGGAAGGAAGGAAGGAAAGAAAGAAAGAAAGAAAGAAAGAAAGAAAGAAAGAAAGAAAGAAAGAAAGAGTAGTGGCGGTGGTGGTATTAGGCTGAAGGCCACATGGAATTAGAGCAACAATTATAGCATACTATTAATCACAACCAGGATAATTTATGATTATCATTGTATTTGAGTAGTCATAAAAGTAGAAGTAGTTCTGAATAAGATATATTTTAAAATACATTTCTCTTCTAGGATCCACTTTGGCATGAATGGTTCTATGCGTATAAATCCAGATGCAAGCCAAAACAGAAGTGTAGCACTAACAGCCTTAGAAATACAATTTACTACTGATTTGATTTGTTTCTACGATGCAACTGTAGAGCTTAGGTAAAGCAACATATGTTTTACTGGAATATCTTTCATGCAGGAAGGAAAATATTACCATTCTAAGTCAACAGTGGGGAGCTTGCTTAAATCTACTGAAAATATGCTTAATTCTAGTAGTTCACTTCATTTGCTTTATATAGATTGATAGTGACTGGATGGAGAAAAGAGGTTTTTAAAATCCCACTGCATGTTTAAATTGTATTTTTAATGACAAAAAGCCACTCCCTTGATTCATACTTGGCAATCTCTATCATAAGTTACAATCCCCTTTTACTCATAAATGTTTGTATGTATTAAGCTCTAGTGTTGTATTCATAAAAAAGTTGGAGTAATTGATTTTTAAAACATGTTTGATTAAAAATGCACCTAAAAATCAGCCAGCAGAGATTTTGTTTAAGCTATTAATATTTAGCATGAGTATTATAAAAATGAGCAGGTGGCAAATATTCTTTATAGATGCATGCCTTACTTCTGTGTCTCTCTAAATCCCCTATACGTTGATTAACAGCTTGCTCTTGATCATGCTTGTTAAGAAATCATTCCTACTGAGTTCTTTGCAAGCATACTTGGGAGTAAGTCCCATTCACTTATATCCTGTTATGTTTTATGGGGTTAATTATTTTTAATTTACCACAGCTTATATATTTACATATGACATGATTTCTGCTTTAGGCATTATGGTTAATTGAAAACAAGAACTAAAACTGATTTCTCTGTGTTCCAACAAAGGAGGAAAAATAGGAAAGCTATGAAAATCCAAGGCCCAGATAATCGTATTATTACTGATAAACCATTGTTTGTTGAATTATCTTTGAATTTAGCTATTCTATGATTGAGAGATCGGCTGTTCTGAGAACACCTAAGTCTTTGCTAAATCTTGTCCTCTTGACCCATTTTTCATTTTCCGGTCCAGAAGGTAAAAGCTAAAACAAACAAAAAGTAACCATTCCCCTCCACCCGCCTTCTATTTTAGTTCAAGGCTCTTGCTGCTTTCTTCTCAATTCAGCTTGGTTTTGATAGTTTGAATCATTTTTACAATTTCCATATCTACTTAATTCTTTAATGTTTTCATAAAACCACAAAGGGATGTTATCTGTCAGTTTGTGTTCTGCCAATGCAGAGTGGCTGTAGCAATTTGTACCACTGTTTCCAGGGACTTTCTTTAATCTTGAATTGGTTTATACTTCTCCACTTGGGTCTGGTATGAACCCCATGGAGTCATTTTGGATTCATAGCTCCAGCTTGATGTTGTGGCTAAAGCACCACAGAAACTTATGTAGTCTACCTGTTAAGATTCTTCAGACAGACACTTATTCTCTAGTCACCTCACAATGGGCTCTTGCAATGTGCTTTGCATAGCTTGCCCATGAAGACCTATTGGAAGCTACAACTAGTCCAGAATGCAGTGCTGCAGGCAGTGATGGATATATAGTGTTATGCCGGTGTGGTGCAATTAAGCAACTACCGTTTATGCCTGGCCAGTGAAGTCGGGCAGAGTAAGTATGGTTCAGATCCTTTAAAACAGAATCACTTATTAGCACTCAGAAAGCCTGCCTTCGCTGTTGCAATCCTGACCTCTGGAATGGCATCCATCCAAAGACCCGTGCAGGTATTATCTGATAACATTAAGAAAGTCAGTGAAAATTTGGCTGTTCTTGGAGGCCATTGGGGAAAGTGGTGGTTAGTCTTCATAAGATATAATATTTTAGGCAGAGTTTGCCTTCTCGGCAGTTATGGTCTGACAATCATTTTTATTTTTAATCTTACAGAAACACAGTTGAATGTGAAGAAAAAATTAGAATGCTTGGAGATCTAGATGTCTGCAGTACAAAATTTAGCTTCCAAAGAGCAGAAAGTGAGATTAAGAAGCAAAAGGGCCGTATGTTATGTGATGTATTGCTTGATCAGGCAATCCTACCTGGAGTGGGAAATATCATAAAGAATGAAGCACTTTATGACAGTGGTCTACACCCAATTGTTAAAGTATGTAAAATATTTCTAGCTGCTTTCAGTTGTATTTTACATTTTACTTATTATGATTTAGGTCTTGAGCTCTTAAAAGAAAATTGTAAAGTACACAATGACTGTTCTATTACATTGTAAATAAAAGGTTTACAATTCCATAAGGAATTCATTGAAACATTACCTTCCATAGATAATCCCAATAGATCATTTATATTCAGAATCAAAATCATATGGTCTTTGACCAGTGATTACCAATTTCATAAGAAAATGTTAAAATACAAACAAATGTGAGTATCATACGAGAAAGTCAATTATATTTTCCATAATCATGAGTCCATTGTGGATGTCTAGTACTTACTGCATAGCTGCAAAAAAAACTTCCATAAATGAAGCCTTAATCATATTTATAGAGCAATTCTATACGTAGTGGTTCAAAGGTTAGTTTCATGTATAGGATTGCTGTATTAAAATCCAAGTAGGCTTGTTATTGTCAGTGTTTCCTGTATTATTAAGTTAGGTTCGTGTATCATCTGGTCATCAAAATCTCCTTAATGAAAGACACTTTATATAGCAAAAAACCCAAGCTTCACTGTACTTTTTAAAACCAATGTTCCAAATTACAGGTTTGTCAATTAACAGATGAGCAAATATGCCATTTGGTGAAAATGACTCGAGATTTCTCACTTCTCTTTTATAAGGTAGGAAAAAAATTCTTTTCTAAGAGTTTGGCAAAAAGAAAAAAAATACAAGCTGAATATACAGCCTTAAAGTAACTGTTACTTTATTTATTTTTTTGCATTATTCCATTAACTGATGAAAGGATTTTTTTTGTCTCTTGTACATTGTTAAATACAATCCTGTTTTAAAAATGTGTGAATTTATACATTAAATAATAGTGAAAATAGCCTTTTTGGAACTATGTCTTTGGATACCAGAGAGAAGAATCCTATGATATAATATTCCAAATAATCAAAATTATCTTTCTGAAGAAAAGTTTGCACTTCCAGATAAAGGATTCTAACCTAGTCTGAAATATGATGTTTTATGTTTGAACTTTTATTAGAGCAGAGATACGTAATTTTTAAAAACCTTTGCAGGCTGCACATGTTCTATTAAATTTGGTTGATTGGAGAAATGCTACTTAACCATCATCTCCTGGACAATGTTTAGAGGATTTTAATGCAGCTGGGAGATATCACTAGAGAACCTCTTCCCCTGAAAGAGGAAAAGAAAAGAAAAGAAAATAATTTATTTTGTCCAATACACCCAAAAATAAAACAAAGTTTTTCAATTTATTTGTAAGTTCTTTCCAGTTATTACAAGACAAATATGATTTGAGGTGAATTGCATCTTTGGCTTTTGAAGACACATAAATAATAATTGTCTGTTCCAGTGTTGCAAGATGGGATTGGCAATAAGTAAACACTATAGAGTGTATAATCGCCCCAGTTGCCACCAATGCAGTGGAAAGATCACAGTATGTCGATTAGGAGAGAACAACAGAATGACCTATTTCTGCTCACAGTGCCAAAATGACAAACCTCAGCCTGGGGATTTGTGGTAAGTCTTTACAGGTAGTTCACTTAGTGACCGTTCAAAGTTATAATGGCACTGAAAAAAATGACTTATGACCGTTTTTCACACTTATGACTGTTGCAGCATCCCCATGTTCACGTGATCAAAATTCAAACCCTTGGCAACTGACTCTAAGTGTTCCTGGGTCATGTGATCACCTTTTGCAAGTAGTCAATGGGGAAACCAGATTCACTTAACTGTGTTACTAACTTAACAACTATAGTGATTCACTTAACAACTGTGGCATGAAAGTTTGTAAAATGGGGCAAAACTTAACTGTCTTGCTTAGCTACAGAAATTCGGAGCTTCACTGTGATTGTACGTCAAGGGCTACCTTATTACCTTTAAAAGCATTTCACAATTTATCTCAGTACAATTTAATGTTTGAATTTTGAGGGGGATTTTTTTTTCTTCTTCCCATATTACTTGAGTTGTCTGCTCAACCAGTGAAATCCCAGCAGCTTATATTGAACCATTACAACTGGATGGAAAAGGAATGGAACGGAACAGAACAGAATAGAATAAAATTCTATATTGGCCAAGTGTGATTAGACACAAAATGAATTTGTTTCCAGTGCATAATTTGTAGAGCAGTAGACAATTCTTCATTTGCCAAGATAGAACCATAAATATTCAACGATAATTTTGTTAATGCAAGTTTTGGATTTTGTTTAAAAAAAATCAAGTGAGCTCTGAGGAATAACACTAGTCCAGTTCCTTTCACTGAATATCCAAGCTGGTGAACTTAGCAGCAGCCAAATCACACATAGGGCAAAATCTAACTGTACTTGTTGGGAAAGGCCTCTTGTTCAAGGCTATCAAATCCTTCCAAACCTTGAACCTTTCCCTGAGGTGTTAGACATTCTTTATAGTCATTCATATAAGTAATTATAAAAATGTTGACAATCACCACGCCCAGGACAGAACCTCAAGTACACTGCATATTTCTTTCCATGTAGCATTGAACCATTAAGGACCATTCACTGAATATGGTTGTTCAACCAACTGAATCTATCTGCATATTTATCTGCAGTAAATTTCTCCTTCCTTCATCCCACAATAGGCAGCCAAGAAGAAATAGTTTAAGTGGCTGGCCATTCAGCAGGGAATTTTGTTCTAGAGAGGTTGCTCAGAAGTCAGAAGAGGAGTGGGCCTGCAAACTCTGTACTCTATTAAACAAGCCTTCTGTGAAAATATGTGATGCGTGCCTGACAACACGGTCCGAAGGTATTTCGTGCTTTATGACGGCCTGTTTGCACCTCTAATGTAACATGACAAGATTATTTTTATTTTCACATGTAACGTGTGTAATATGAAATAACACATTAGGATTTCAGTTCTGCATTGTGATTGTGTTGTTTTATCTGATAGTTCAGTCTGAAATCTTACTTCAATTGACACATATATCATTAATTTGCTGTGTGTGCAGCTTCATATAATTTATTGTTGATATATGGTTTTTCTTTTTGCTGCAAACGCTTTCTAATACGTATGTACTGCATTTTGTATTTTTATTACAACAAACTTTGGCCCAATATTACTGCTATTCTACATGCCATTAGCAACATGAAGTTCTTATTGTTAATTTTAATTAACAATAAAATGGCAAGTGTCTGCTTATGGATCTTGTAAAAGAGCAGCATAGGGGTATAATTTTGTTTCTTAAGGAAGAAAATTTAGAAGAAATTCTATTTGAAACAAACCATGATGAAGAAAAATAAGGTATCTTGAGCAGAGACTTGTGCTTAAAATCTGAATTATAAACCCAGACACTAGTCACTTTAGAGAACAATTGTTTGCGTTAAAATGGAATGTTCTTTTTATAACTCAAATCTATACTTTCACAGCTGTTCTATGATCCTCTGCTGAATGAATTATTCACTTGAACCTTCTGTACTTTTTGTATACCTCAGCACTTTCTGAATTGCCAAACCAAATGTTTCATACATTTGAAAAGGAATACATTTGCAGGAAGGGAGAAAATCTTTCCTTTTATAGCTAGAAGGGGCCAGAACTGTATTTCACTTTATTGATATTTCTGGAATACTGGAGTCTGCGCACTGAGAAGTCTTTAATCCTAGCAATAAAATATTTGAGATTTTAAATTTCAATCCATAAAATGCTTAAGATTCTGGAGCACTGAGATGCGAAGCATTCTGAGTGGAGATAAGTTTAGACTGTCTTTGCCATTTGTAGTATATCCCACTCTCTTCGCAATAGCTGTGTCCAATATTGCCTTCCACTACCTGGGGCAGTATTCAGCAGTAGTCTTAAGCTTCTAATCTTCAAAGCACACTCCTTTTTTACTCTGATTTTGCTTCGTCTACTTTATTCTAATAGTTTTCTCCATTTGCTTTTTTTTTTAGTTAGTTCTTCTCTTTCCAAAGTTTTAAATGCCAAGTCATTTTCTTTAAGATCTTTTGTTTAAAACATGTTGCCCTTTTTATTTGTGTATTTTCAATTAAATTCTTTCCAGCCTTTTCTTACTACTGTAAGTGACTTTCTTTCTGCCTTAGTAGTGCTGAAATAGTCTGTGGGCTTCGAGAAGAATGCCTCTAATGATGGATGCTGTTGGAAAAGTATTTGATAAGGAATAAGCAACTTTGTGGTTGTGGTCATCAGTCCATTATAAATATCTCATCAGAAATACCTGCCAAGAAACCCCTAAGTTAATTTTAAAAATTAGTTTAAAATTATAAATAGGAAGTTGGCATGCTGTGAAGCACAAGCAGTCTATCATGTTTATCTTAAAGAACAACTCTATTGGCATTTTTTGAATATAATAGTGGCTAATCAAAAACAGGTCATGTTGGATGATATAGGTAATGTACACCCATGAAATGGAAAAGATCTTTGGAAGTGCTGTGGGCACACTTGATGAACTTGTCAATACTTCTTTTGACATTCAATTACATTGAAATTATTTCATAGAATCAGTTGTTCAAAAATGTAGTAAAAATGCTCCTGGTTTACATATGTAATATTTAAAGATATTACAGAAGGCATTCACAACTAAATTTATAAAATCCAATGACTGGCATGAGAAAAAATGCAGTGTTGGGCCTAAGAGCGTGAAGGACTGGTTTTTTTTTTTTGCTTTAATTTATATGCCGCCCTTCTCTGGAGACTCACGGCAGCTTACAATGCGTTAAGCAATAGCCTTCATACTTTTGTATATTTATACAAAGTCAGCTTATTGCCCCCACAATCTGGGTCCTCATTTTACCTACCTTTGAAAGGATGGAAGGCTGAGTCAACCTTGAGCCTGGTGAGATTTGAACTTGCAGTAATTGCAAGCAGCAGATGTTAATAACACTGCTTTAGTCCACTGTAACTACAGGCTCTTCCACTCTGTATTTGTATCAGCTGCAAAGTATGTTCTTGATTATCTTTTCTTAGTTGATTCTTTAGCCAGACTCAGGAATCTAAGATTTTAGTCCCTTCAGAAAATCAAATTCATGAATTAAATTAGCCCCTGGAATTTATGTGTCCAGCTGGTGATCTAGAAGCTGAAACAAATACTGTGCAACAAAGGCAGTAAAGCTTAGGGCTCTAGAACAAAATCACAATAATTATTGGATTTTAGTTGTCATCTGAAGACTTCTTTACAGTGTTTTAATAAAGTAACTTTATCCCTTTCTTTTTTTTTTTTTTTTTTGAAAAAGTTTTTCAAATACAAGTTTTTCCCCCTTTTCCTCCCTTCTTCCCCAACCCGCCCTCACCACCCATCCCCCCCTGTGACTTCTTCTTCACAACAATAAGCTAATTCATAATTAATTACATAATATTTTACCATGCCCTTACTCACTCCTCAAAGTACTGACCCTTAGCATAGTATTCTTATAACTCCGCTTTTCTCCGCTTTTCACAATCTACCCTTTTTCTCCTCCCCCAAACTTATAAAATATTATTATTATTACAACAACATAACTTTTACTTTTATATATATTAATTTAACATTTCAAAGCAGCCTTCTCCAAATTTATTCAGTTCTATCCAATTCTTCCACTCCCCAAAATATATGACTTAAAAATCCTTTTTCTTAAACTAATCAATCACTAAACTAGCCTATTTCAACCCAGTTTCCTGCAAGATTACCATGCACTACAATTCTAAATATAATCCACTGCCCACTCTGCTGAAATATACATATGTCTATATATACATTCCATTTTATAAAAAGAGAAAAGACAATAACTTTAAATTTATAATTCATTTAGTATCTTCTTTGATGTCTTTCCACTAGATTGTTAAATCCGTCATCCATAATAGGGTAACATAGCATCCTGGTGCAACAGTTTATTCAAAATCTTCAGTCATCTTCTGCCCCCATCAATAATGAATATCCTCATGTATATATAAAAGTAAAAACAACCACCCGAGTGACATTATAATTATATTCCATATAGTTGTAATTGTGGTTTTCATCAGGATTATAAATCCCCATCATCTTAGTGGATAACAGCCAGATCTTCTGCATGCCCCAGCATGATTCTCTTGCCTTGTAACTCAAAATAGATATAATATATTTATCGGTAAAAGAAATCCAAAATAGATAGTTCAAATCCAACAATGTAAGGCTCTTTCCACATCCCAAAATCACGGCATTGCAGAGATCTGCCACTTTCCTCAAGATAGTATTAAACGATAATTCGCCTCCAATATCTTTTCACATATTCATTTATTTTTTTTAAAAATCCCTGGCTTCACTGTTGCTTGGTTTAGAAACTACTATTTCTACGAGATCTGTTTCTTTTCTTTTTCTTTTGCGGGTTGCATTTCCATCCAGATTTCCTTCCTACAAGTTGTGTATCAGCTGATTGGTTGTCATTCTGCTTTGTAAATTGATCTTGTTGGTTTTGTTTTATTATCTCATATGTCTTTTCCATCACTTGTATATCAACTGGGTGATTTACGCACTTGTCTGTAAGTTGATAGTTCATCACATTAGAATCAGATGACACTGCTCTCAAATTTATAGACAGTCCAGCTGGGGTATCCAAGGAGTCCAAAGACAGTTTATCTACCACAGCCTCTGTAATTTGATGTTTTCCCTTTATTTCCAACTCCTTTTGCTTGTCCTGTGTTATGCCTAAAGATGTTAGATTTATTTTTAAATTTTTTTGATAAAATTCTTCCGCTTTTTCGACAGTATTCAGTTGGTATCTTACTCCTTGGTGTCTCAATATTAAACCAACTGGGACGTCCCACCTAAATAGAATATTCCTTTTTTTTAATTCATTCACTAGAAAACCAAATTTCTTCCTCTCCATTAACATCTTGGGCGGGAGTTCCTTAAAAATCCAGATCTTCCTTCCACGAAATTGCAAAGCAGAATCATAAGAATTCTGGACAATATTATTTCTAATTTCTTTGTCTGTAAAATAAATCACCACATCTCTAGGCAATTGCCTTTGTTTTGCCAACCAGGAGTTTATTCTATAAATTCTGTCAATCCTGCAAAACACTTCATCAGGTTGAACCTTTAAAATCCCAGCCAGAATTTCAGAAGATATCTTCCTTAAATCTCTGTCATCTTCCTGCAAACCTCTCAGTCTAATTGCATATTCTGTAAAATTGTATTGGATCATTAAAACTTCTCTTTCAGTCCTCTGTTGTACATTTTCTTCATTAACAGTCTTTTGATCAGCCTCCATTTTAAGTTTGTCTTCTGAACTATTATCCTGAATGTTTGCCAAATCCTTTTTAATTTTTTGGATCTTGTCATCCAAATTCTCCTCAGTTTCTTTCATTTTAGAGTTAGTATTTGCTTCCAACTGAGTCATAAAGTCTGCTAAGCCATTAGCTACTTTTAAAATCTTTCGATCCAAAAAGCCAAACTTAGATTTCACCAATTCACCAATTTCTTTGATTTCCAACTTAAATTTTTCAAGTTGCTGATTCACAATCTCATCCCTTCTTACAATCTCCTCAAGAAGAAATTCTATTATATTAAAGTCAGGTTTCTGAGACTGGAGAGTTAAAACTTGTTGATGTAATTTATTAATGGGGGAATCCCCCCCCACTGCCTGTTTGTCTAGTTTTATAAGTCTCAGTGCCATTTTTCCACGCAGACAAAATTTACTGGAAAAGAGAGAAAAAAAAACTTTTTTTCCAACCAAGATCAATATCAGATCCTCAAAGAGAGAAGAAAAAAAAAAAAAGGAAAAAAAAAACAGAAGTGAGAGTGAGATTTTGCCTTCAGTTACAGCCAAAAGTATTCATTCCGCTACTTTGTAATTGAAAACGGAAGGAGTTTCCCTTTCAGCCTCTCTTCAAGCCGCAGCAGCAATCGCCATTTTAAAAAAAAACTTTTTTTCCCTTCACTTCACTTCTTAGGCAAAATAGAATAAAAAGAATACTTGCGCTTCAGGATCAGAGGTCCAGCTCATATCTTCTTTAATTAATTTATTTGACAGATTTACAGGCTTGCTTTTGCCCCCTAGCTCTGCGTGTAGCAGAGATTTCCCAGAGCCCGGAGCATCGGCTGGGGATACGGGGAGTCTCTTCCGCTCCCTCCCAAAAGTAAATAAAAAACTTTTGGGATTAGGCAGAGGACTCTACCCACCCCAGCCGGCTCTATCTCCGTTTCCTAATGGAAACGGAGTTTTTTCGAGCCGCCGTTCCGCTGAAAAAGGCGGCTCTTACAGGCAGTGGGTTCGACGATCCCGGAGGAGCGTCCAGCGGGAACAAGCAGCAAACCAGAAGTGGCTTTATCCCCTTCTTCACCACCACCCCCAAATAGCATTCAGTATTTTGGGGGGTATTGTGTATCAAACACTTTGCTCAGTATTTATAATTAACACCATCTTATCTTTATTTTTACAAATATTTCTCTTGCTTTGCCTTTGCTTTTTAGTTGGTTAGCAGTTATTAAAATCAGCTTTGTACAAGAAAAGGCCAAAAAACCCCTGCAACCAAGATTAATATCATTTCTCATGTCTTCAGTTCAATTAATGTCTATGGGGATGTTCATGACCATAATAGTGGAGTGCTCTTCTGAGACCCATTGTACTACTTTAATGCATATCTTTATATAAATGGGAATAAGCATTTCTATGCAGAATTATGACTATAACTATTTCTGTATTGCTACAGTAGATTACTTGAACTATCAGGATCATAAATTGAAGCACTATGTAGCGTGTTATTGCTGGAATTATACAATTTAGGGAGACATGGAAACAGTTGATTCATTAATACTAACCAGGATATTTTTTATCTATTTCAACTTTAAAAAAAAAGAAAGAAATGGAGGTTTAACAACAGATAATAGCTCCTTAGTCAAATATCCATGTTACAACTTTGGAAAATCAAGAATGGAAATTAAGATAAATAGGAAGACGGCATTTGGGACAGCAACTCTAGTATTGACAGATTTTGCTGGTAAAGACATTCTACTGGAACGTAACAGAAGTGAAAGTCGAACTCCAGATGGAGGCTCTCTGCATGATCCTTCAAGAAACGATTTTAATAGTACCAACCACTATGAAGTAAATTCATCAATACCTTTTCCCCATCAATGTAATTCTTTAAAGCCAGCATCAAAGAAACAGAAAATAGATTGTTCAACTTCATCTGTTGGAAGCCTTACTGAGAAATTTGTAAACAGGTTTGTTAATTTCAACTACATATTGAGGGGTAAAATTGTTCATATGAAAAACTGTTTGTATTATATTTTTGCTTTGAAATGTGCAATGTTACTTATATTTTGGCAGATAACGGTCCATGAAACAACTTTGTCTGCAGCTGTGTCCTAAAGTGTTGTAGGCTTGTGGCCGAGGCAGCTTACTAGATCCAAAGAAATGGTTAGAAAGGGTTGTTTGCCAGGTGCAGATAGATTAAAGCATATACAGTATATATCTGGGATGTACTTGTAGAATGGAAACATTTGAAAAATATTTGAAGTCTGCAGTCACCAATCACTTAATAAAGAAGCAGCAAGGGAGAGCTGAGTTGGTAGGCATAATGGAAGGATGAATAGGAGTTACAGCCTCACTTCCTTCTTAAAATGTAGAATTGTTCTGGCAAACTGACAGGAAATGTTGCAGAAGAACCCTTGGAATAAAATAGTATTTTTAAATGCATTTCTATAACCTGTTTAAACAAATTGAAATTTTCAGGCTTCCAATAATAACCACTCTCATATGGCATAATAAATTTTTGTATTTGCATTCTGTTGGCCAGCAGTCTTATTTAAGATAATTTAGTCCCTCTTGCAGAAAGAAAAACTAGAGGAACCTCTACATAGCTCCATAGAGGAATATTCTAGACAGCTGGTGGATCTGTTCACAGCTGGGCTCCAGCTGTGCAATTTCCCCTCAGATTCCTGAATGTCAGAGAAAGCAGGGACATTTTACACAGGCAACATCAGTAGAATTCTTGTCATTCGTTATGCAAAGTTGAGAATCTGGGTGAAGAGGGCCAGCATTGCTTGCACTGTTGTAGCTTTCACAAGATATCTAAAGAAGGTTCCAAATTCCCTCCCAAGTTTTACAGTATAAAATTTGCTCATATTTTGGTTCAGTAGTGGAGTACGAAGAGATTGCTTCTGAAATATTATTTGGTTAGGTATGGTGACCTTTAGATCTTATACAGAACATTAGGTTAGGATTGGAATATTTGATTTCTGAATATTATCATTTTTAATCTGTGATTTGTACCCATTCCTTGTGAAGTCTCATTGACCTGTCTGACCATATGTAAGTGGCAGAAGGACGATGTTGCCAGGTAGCATAAATCATGTTGGGAAATGGACAGATGAGTCAGTCCTTAATGGTATCACTGCAGATGAGAGATGGGTGAATGCCAAATTCAGCTGTTTAATATGAGCTTCAGTTTCCTAAGAATAATGAAAGATAAAAGAGATACTGGAAAAAATAATAATTGTACTTTACACTACTACAATTATTAGAGGCAGTCTTATAAGAGATAGCTGCTAGATGCCATAGTATAATGATTAGGGATTTTATTTTATTGCATTTGTTAACAGTGTATACTGTAGGCTGTCTAATGGCATATAGCCTGTGTTCAAGAAGCTTCTGCCAAGCTTGGTCTAGAGAGAAAACTACATAAAAAGCCATCAGGTCACAGTAATACTGGGGAGAAATGCTGCTTACATATTCATGTACCCTAGAGTGAAATTACCTAATGCCTTTTGAGCTTGACTAGTAACATATTTGCCAAAAACCCTGGCTGCTGCTAAACCTAAGAAACAAGAAGCAATCTAACCTTGTTTAAACATTAAGAGTCAAGGCAGATGCCCTTGTGCATTGTAAACAGACACTATCCAGCTATTCTGGTGATGCTAACACCAGAGGAGAGCAAAGCTTTCCTATCACCTTCATAAAATACACTTTTCTGCTCTGCCAGTCAGACTTCCTCCTCTCTGGTATATGATGGGGATCATTAAAGTAGCTTTGATCAAAGAGCATAGAAAATTGTCTTGAAGCAGACAAGTAGATAGATATCCCCATGGTCTGGTCTAAGACACGTGTAATAACTTTCCAGAGGGGAAGAATATAATTGGAAGGAATTGGTTTTCTAGTACATCTTGCTGTTGCCAATTCAGGATGCCTTTTAAACTACATGAAAGTACAAAATTTATGCTAGCAATGCCAGAATGGTACAGTTTACTTATTTTAAAAAGCAGCAAGAGAACTTTTTAAAAATTTGCTGCTTCCATTTCATTTCAATAGAATGGATTTTTGACATGGAGTCCTTCAATTTCATTTTAAAGAGAAAGTAAAGCAGATAAAATTGCTAAGTGCTCTGTTTGATCAGATGTATCATTGAAGCAGAAGAGTTTATATGGACTTTGGAGCTGTGATATTGAGACTGAAGATGCTGGTTTTGCTGTAACTAATCTCCTTAACTTTATGCAGGTTTTTATCTTGTTACTTGTCATTACAGAGCACCTCCAGATAATATGACAGATGGCTCTTGCACATTAAATGCTGGCAGTCCTCGCTGCAGTAAACACAGTCGCTTATGTGTTCTTCGCATCGTGAGGAAGGACGGAGAAAACAAGGGCAGGCAATTTTATGCTTGTCCTTTGCCAAGAGAAGCCCGGTGTAACTATTTTGAAGTATGTGAGCTTGTATAGTACCATACATCCTTGAAAAAGATAAATTGGTTTCTCAAACAACTGTGATTACTTATGGATTTCACTTATTCTTTAATTTTAGCATAGTGGGAAATGAATTGCTGTGATGATAGCTTCGTCTAAAGAGGATCTCAGTGCACTTTGAGAAGAATAAATGGGTTCTCTGGTCTCTACAAAATTATTTTCTGTATCAAGCAGTGGGACTGTTAGGCTTTGAGTTAGTTGTTTACACTAAGGTTAAAATAACAGTGTTCTTTATAACAATATTGTTTTATTAATTAATCCATTTCTATCTTGGATTTCTTTCTTACTGATGTACTTCCCCAGCTGTATTTGAGTGATTAAAAGAGTACTTTGGAAAATAATTATTGTGTTTCATTTTCACAGTTCTAAAAACAAGTGACTATATGACTTTATTCTATTGATGCATACTATCCTCTAAGCAAACTTAACTTTCTTGCCTAGCTAGTTTATTTTGAACATTTCATCTAAATCATATTATTTTTCTTCCTTCTTTTAGGTGCTTTTTAGATTACTGTTGTCAGGTAGTAACTTAACAATAGTACAGTAAGCAAAGACAAGTAGGAAAAAGAACAATGAAAATTGCAGTATTAGCTAAACATTAGGAATACATTTACCATAATCAAAATGATTCAAACTCAGTGTGAGTGAATCAAACTCATATGTTCATACTTCCTTTAATCTTTTATAAGCTAGAAGGAATAACACTGTTAGGCAACATAAAGCAAGAACCATCAAAGGAGACACAATTCTAGTGTAAGAATGCTTAATCAAGTGTGCAAAGATTCTAGGGCAAAATTAATGTAATAAAACAGCACAACTGAGTCTGAGTTCATATTTTCTCTAATGACCTTGACAACATAAAATGAGTGCTGGTGTTTTTCTTGTATTTGTTCTCTTCAGCTCAGCTTTGATAATAGATTCTGTTCCACCATATGGTAACTAATGCAATGCAGTGTCATTTTGACCTTCAGATTTTCCAAGGGAGAGAGACATTAGAGCTTGGGGAAGTGAGATCTATTGCTTTGAAGCCATAAGCTATCAAGAGTTTTACTTGGATAAATTAAATCTGTGTTTCCTCCAAAAGTCAGATAAAGTTTTTTACAACTGTCCTCCCACAAAGTCAAACAAATAGAGTTTAGGTAGTGGAGCAAACAGAATTTTAGAGAAAGTTGCTTAGCTTGATTACTGTTAGTCACCACCTACCTTGAAGAATTAACGGGGAGTTTGTTGCTTCCCATCTAAAACAGGAATTTGGCTTCAGCATCTGGTGTTAACAGAAAATGATTTCTCTCTGCAGTGGGCAGACCTGCATTTTCCTTTCTGCAATCATGGGAATCGCTGCATTATGAGGACAGTGCTGAAGATTGGTCCTAATAATGGAAAGCATTTCTTTGTGTGTCCTCTTGGGAAGGATAAACAGTGTGACTTCTTTCAATGGGCTGAAAATGGTCTAGGAATGAAGATTATCCCAGGATGCTGAGCTATTCAACTGCACTGGACTATCTGGTGCTAATCTTCTCAAACTGTGTGTGCTCTACTGCTCTTCTGTAGGAGATATTTTAGTAGGGTTATGATCAAGTGGCAGTTTGTGATTACAAATCCATTTGTGTTATATATTTGAACGTTCCTTCTCATACCCCTCTTTGTATTTCTGCTATTTTCTGTTCATTATTTGTTGCATTTTACCTAATACTAGAAAATTTCAGACTTAATATCTGAACAATAGGTAGTCTTTTTCTTATCTTAGTTGTTCCCTCATGCGTGTACACACACACACACACACACACACACACACACACACACACACACACACTTGGATATCATTGTTTGTTCATGCCATTTGCCCTTCAACATTTTTTCCTCTTTGTCTTTATATAAAATTTTTATTTCAATGCATTTAATATGAATAGATTGTATAACATCTTTTAATCAGTTATGAAAGATTAATATTTTTAATAAAATGTTTCAAACAGTGATGAGTGTTTATTTGTTCTTAAGAATAAACAGTATGAGATTGTTGTCAGAACAGAAAAATAGTTTAGATCTATTTATTTACATAGCTGCCCATGCCACAGTTGTGACTATGTGGTATACAGAAGTTTAAACAGAAAAAAACAACAAAAGCAATTTCATATGCAACATAAACATCCTGAGAACTAATCAGAAATAACAGTTATGCTAGTATAACATATATTCTGAATCTAAAAATCAACTCATTTTAAAGCAGCGTAGACCAAAAACGGGGGGGTGGGGGGCACCAAAAGGGCTAATTTAATCTTTTGGTCCAAATATCTGAGGGAACATCCAGATCTTTAATATCATATGAAAGCCCAAATGTTTGTGGGCTACCCAGATTCTGGGAGGACTGTGATTCATCAGTGGGTGAATTTATACTGATGGTTCTTATAAAACTGTTTTGAAAATAATAGACATTAATACGTAACGTTACAAATAAATCAGAATCTGTACTAAAAATAATATACTGAAATCCATTTTAGATACTGTCGAATCAAATTCTGTTTTAAGCTCAGTTAAATTTGGTGCATAATTAGAAAATAAAATTATTAATTTCAGTATGATTACATCTAAATTGTCATAAAAGCTGAAATTTTGTCTTTTTAAAAAGAGGTATATTTTATCTAAATTACATCAAAATCATCATTTCAGTGGTGATGCTAATTAATGTTGGACTTCAAATCCATCATCTCATTCTTGGAAAAAAACCATTAGGCTTAGTAAATGTGGGACCCATAGATACTACTCTTGACATTCTGCAGCTCCTGCCTTACTTTTTCAATCTTACTGAATATGTCTAATTAAAAACAAAATAAAACCTGGAATACTAATAAGCCAAGGATGAACTCTTCTCTCCCCCTCATAGTTTTACAAAAATGTTTTTTAGCTTTGTGTGCTTCCTTTGCAAAGAAAACTGAAACGACATTGCGGCCTGGTTCATTGCTTAGTACGGTGACTAATCATTTAATGTTACTGTGTATAGAAATGCAAAATTCATTGTTCAAGGATGGGATATTCTAAAATTATTCTAAGTGAGTTTTACATGCAACTATTGTAAGGATATATTATATCTGACCCTGGATATCTACTACTTTTTTGTAGCTGATCAAGAAGGGACGAAATGTGATTTTCAAGTTTTAGTTTCTTTGATCCCCTTCTCTGCAGTTTGTTAGCATGAACTTCTTTTGCCATAATTAAATTACAAGTAATCCTTATGGCTGCTTGTTTATTGGTGGTTTGAAGTTATGACTGCTTCAGGAAAAGATTTATGAACCATTTTTGAAGTTATGACTGTTGCACCACCCCCTTGGTCATGTGATTGCCAATCCTGCTTGGCAATTGGCTCACATATACAGTGGTTGCAATCTCGCAGATATGGGATTATGATTTGAGACCTTCCCAGACGGCTTCCAACATGTAGTCAACTGGAGAAGCAAGATTTCCTTAACTACCAGGACCCAGTTGTGGGGGCAATAAGCTGACTTTGTATAAAATATACAAAAGGATGAAGGCTATTGCTGAGCACATTGTAAGCCGCCCTGAGTCTTCGGAGAAGGGCGGCATATAAATCAAATTTAAAAAAAAAAAAAAAACTACTGTGGTGATTCGCTTAACAATCATGGTAAAAATGGTCATAAAGTCAGGTCTGGTGACTTGATGCTTAATGATTGTATTGATTAGCAACCCAAATTCTGATTGCAATTGTCATTTGTTGAGTACTACTTATATAACTTTATTTTTTAATTGTAAGCTCACTTCACTGCTTACAGCACTTAATGGGTTGAAGTTCTTGAATATTCTTGGAGTGTTATATCTGCATTCACTATTTTAAGTGCATTTTTATGCAGTCTGAATCAAGGTTCAAGATGTTCTAAGCAATTCTAAGCATGCTGCTCTTAAAATCAGTGACAGGGCTTTTACAAAAAAAAATCTACATGTTTCACTACCAATTACATATGTTTAGCTTAAAGAGAATTTGTTTTTTTTTTTTAATTTCTTTTAAAGGACAAGAGAATTTCAGTAGATTTCCCAAGTTAAAGTGTGATGTTCTCATGCTGTTACAATGCAGTTATGTGCTGTATATGAATATCTATCTTTGAACAATAATATCTTCAGCTTCCTGGAATCTCACATTTCAATCAACTCCTATGGGAACTCTTCCCATGTATTTCTTTAGACAAGAAGCATGTCAGCAGAAAGCAGTGATGGAAAGATGTACCAGTATAACAGGAAACAATAAATAGGAATAGCAATCACTGCACCATCTCGAACAGAAAACAGTCTGAAGACAATTTTGAAATTCTAGATATCCTGGAAATTAGAAATAAAGAATCTTCTTTTGCATAGAAAGACTACTTTTGAAAAACTGCAAGTCCTATTTTGGCATGGCATTACATTAAATATGTCTCTGGTAAAGGAGAGAAGGAAGCTTTGGAAAACCAACATTATCTGTCCTCTGTGTATTTATGTTTTCCTTATAATTTGTGGTAAAGATTATAGAATCAACAGATTCATTTTGTAACTTTAGTAAAATGAAGATAATAATGAAGATTATTTTGCTGATAGGCAGTCAATTACTACAGAAATTTCTGTTTTCAAAAGCCTCTGAATACAATACTAATAATGTGTCTCCATATACAGGTATTCCTTATTTTATCAGTCACAATTGGGACTGGCAAGTCATTTAAGTGAAATAGTCACTAAGTAAAACCTCCACTGTACTTTTGATCCTATTTCAGCTTTCCTTTGCTTTACAGACCTGCAAAAGCTATAAATGTGACAACTGATTGTAAAGTTACTTTTTCACCACGACTATAACTTCAGACCATTGCTGAATGAGGACTACCTGTATAAGATTGCTCATTTAATATCTTTAGGACCACTTTCTTTAATCAGAACTCATCCATTTATTGCAGGGTTGAGGAACTATGGCCCTTTTATGACCTGTGGACTTCAACTCAGAATTCATAGCCAGCCATGCTGGCTCAGGAATTCTGGAAGTTGAAGTCCACAAGTTATAAAGGAATGTATGATTGCAACTAGTGCAGATTAGATTAAGCAATAATTAATCTGGAAAATAGGCTGGATTATTACTTTATCCAAATCTGCTGAATATTTGTATTTTTCAAAGTTTATCTAAATTTGCAGGCAAGATGACCTTGGCTGAGATATGCAGGAACCGTGCTTAAGCAAAAGAGGCTGAGGGATTTTTGAAAGTCCAGAAGAGTGATAACATTCAGAGTAGCTCAGTCAGTCCCATCTCCTGTGCACTGCTTGGAGTGTCCAAGCCTGGGTTCTTGTCAGTCAGATATGATGTCACTGGGTTGGAATTTCTTTGGCCACGCCCTCCATCTTCCGGCCGAGTCTTCAGTTTTTCCAACTCAGTCAGAGGAAAGTCTTGTTAGAGTTGGCTCTTAAATTTATTTAAATTTAAAGGTATTTTTCTTAGTTAATTTGGCCAATTTCTTTAATTCTTAAAAAAAAAAAAAACACGAGCCTTTTGAATTTGGCTTGGGTGGCTGAGTGAGTGAGTGTGAGTCAGCAGCTGAGCGCTCTGCAGAGGAGGCTAATAGATTGCTCCCAGCCGGCCTTTTTTCTCTAAGTGCAGCCAGGATCACAGGAAAGGCTTGGGGAAACCTTTTAAAGCATTGGGAGAGTCCGAGGCTACAGATTTCGCTGCGGATTGCTGCAGGAGAGAGAGCGTGCTGACTGCGTGGCCAATAGTCACCATTTCGCTGGTGGCGGCCATTTTGTTTGGGCTTAAAGGCACAGCAAACAATTGTGGAAGGCAGCTGGGCGAAAACTGAGAGGATTGCAGCTTTGGAGAGCCGGATCTGCTTCTGCTCAAGCAAGTAAACGTGCTCCAGTATTTTTTTCTACAATTGTGGCCTTGGCAACAGTATAACTGGACTTCTGTGCCTGTATTTACTTGGGCTGCCCTTTCTTGCTGCTGCTGCTGCTGCTGCCTGATTATTGTAAAAAAACCGTGTTGCTGGTTCAGCAATTCATTATAAGCCCTGAACTGCGCAGTGAGTAATCCTTTTACATTTGCCTTATTTTGATTGTTATATTGTGTCCATTATGGCCAATAGTAGTGATTCTGAGGAAACTTATGCTCCTCAACCTCAGCCTGAAGGCTCTAGAAGATTGAGATTCAGCAAGCCTTCTGCTAACACCCAGGCTAAACAATCTAAATCATCTGCAGCTGCTGATAAAGATGCCTTGGGAAGACAAAAAAGCTTTAAAAAAAAACATTTTGCAAAAGCTCAACTGCAGGCTGCTGCTGCTTCTAAATCCCCTGTGGAGTCAGGGGATCAAGGTGGGGCTCCCCATATTTTTCCCACTTTTATTATAAATCAAGGGCCTCAAGAGGAGCAACCTAACTGGTCTCCCACTATTGTTCAGGAACAACAGGAGTTTCATGCTGTTCCTTTTCAGGAAGGTCATGTCTTGCCTAATGTTCAGCCCACTCCTGTGCCTTCCCAGGCCCCAGATGCTCAGGGCCCTGCTCCCTCAGCTACTTTTACGCCCATAGCAGCAGGACTTCGCCCACAGGAGCCTGCACAGCAGGTTTTGTCCTCAGACTTACATTTTGCCTTTGTGCAAACCATTACTCAGGGCATTGATGAGGCATTAACCCAGAGGGGTTTTTCAACTCCCTGGTAGGTGAGGAGGAATTAGGTGAATTTGAGATGTCTGGGGATGAAGGCCTTTCTCAGGATAAGCCTACTTATTCTGGTTTATTCAATCCTCACCTTTTCAGAACATTATTAATGAAGGCTAAGATGACTGCTAATATGGGCCAGGTGGATAAATCTACTTCTGCCCTAGGGATTCTCAGGATTTGTGCACCAGCCTGTTTTCAGAACAGGTCACTACTCAGGAGGTTATCCCATCCCCACAGGATGCAATGGGAACACCCTATTTCTGTTTCTCCTCCTAGTGGCATGGATAAGAAG